TGCTAGGTTGAAACAAAACAGCTACTTAGTAGGTCAAAGTAATAGTTAAAGAATTGTAAGAACATACCAAATTTCAGGAAGACTAAAGAGATGCAATCATTGAGGACACCAGAGTTCTATATTCTTTTCCCCCCATCAAGGCTGCCACAGACTCACCATTGACCACAAAAGGCAGGAGCTCAATTTTATTTTTCATCTGAGACTTGGCACTTCTAAGAAGCCGGTGCCCATTAGACCACAGTGTGCTGGGGGATCAATACTGACTTAAAGGGAAGAAGGCCCCTTTCTGAACCACAGCTGATCCTTCCTGCAGTAGAGAGGGTTCCCCCAAGGAACTCAGCTCAAGAAGCATAACAACTGCTAGCAGAAATATTTCCTCATTTAGATGCCAAGTTGCAAATTGTTTTTTCTGGTGGTGGTGGGGGCAGGGTTGGTTTGGTTTGGGTTTTTTTTTTTCTTTTTCTCAGAAGGTTTTTTTGAACTTGCTCTGTCATCCAGATCTGAACTTTGCTAAATGTTATGTCATGGGACTCAACAATGGAGGTAGTTTATAGCCTGGTTTTTAAGTCCAGTGGGACCAAAGAACTGTTCAACTTTTCATTCATTTTCAGGGGAGGGGCTTCGAATCATATGAAGCCTCCCTTAAAGTAAAATAGCATGTATTCTCATCCTGTTTATTTCCACAGAAACACAAATACAAGATATGTGGATTGAATTCCCTTACTGAATTGGTACTAAGAATAGCAGTTGGTTTGTTGCCTATCRGTACTACGGTCACCAGTGGCCCTGAATATTGGCAAGAGTCCTAGATATATCATATGCAAACATCAATTGTAATATCCTAGAGGGGAAGAAAGCTGAGGGTTTGATTCATAAAATAGCACAAACATACTCCCTTTGGATGATTAAGCAATCATCCTACTTTGACTTAATATTTTCAGTTTCCACTTTAAAATAGGTATCTATGAGTTGGAGAGAAAGAAATGCTTCTCTTTTAATTGATACCCCAGACTTATTTTTCATTGTTTGCTTGTGTCCAAGTGGGTCATCTTGTAAACTATCTAACTTCATGTGTAAAGGATGAGCCCACTTACATCAAATGAAAATTTGTTGATGGCTCCAAACATTTATAAAAAGTTCTGTCCAATTTACAGGGTTGTCATCCTGTCTTGTTTGGAAGTCAACCATTTAGAAACAGTGCATCTGTTCATGTGGAATTTAGGTCTCTAGCACAGCCCACACAAAGCCACCAATCCAACACCTGCCCTTGAACCACCACTGCAATAAGATTTTTACATAAGTGTGAACTTCTAACTTGGGAGGCTTCTTTGTCTGAAATCATTTTCTCTAGTTATAGTGCGATAAGGTGACTATTCCAACCCAGCTTTGTTTATTTACTTTCCCACTTAAGATATGACTCCCTCAGTTCCATAGTTTTGGTCTCCAATGGCTGGGAACAAAGCAAAAAGAAGCTGAGGACCAGGATGGGGCTCTTTTGGTGTGCTGAGAGAGAAATGAATACTGGAAGTGAAAAATTGTTATCTAGGGACTTCTAACAGAGCTATAAACGCATCCTTTAAAAGACCCTATGCATTGTCTTTTTAGTTCTTCAGTGGTCTCAGTAATGGCCTCTTTCCTTTTTATACTGTATTATCAGTTGCTTCTCATGAAAGATTCTCCACCTGAAACCACAGAGGAGTTAAATACCATCTTAGTTATTCTCTCATCATTTTGTCCCTAAAGCAACCCCACAGCTATTTTGAGTTGCTCAAAAGGATAGAAATGCTGTTGCTTGCATTGGCCCACCTATTGTTATTCACCTAAGCCTCCAGAGAAGTTCAAAGACCAAACAGTAAAAGAAAAACTCARGCTATGCTAGGCATTTCATCCTTGGATCTGGTACAGATCCAATAACAGAAGACTAAGATGTCCAGATGGATATACAATCCTTGTTTTGGGCAACACACAGTTCATTAGTGACCTTAACAAGGACTGTTTGAGAAGACTAACGTGTCAAACGCATGATTATAGTGGGTTCCAGAGAAAAATGGGAAGAGAGGAATTAATACAGTAAGCCTGGACAATTCTTTCAAGATGTTTTACTTTAAAGGGAGCCAAGAACTGAGTTTGTAGCTGGAGCAGGATATGGAGGCAAATAGGGATTTTTTTCTCTCTCTCAAGTTTGGAGTTATCACAACACATTTGTATGCTAAGGGGATGATCAAGAGGAGAGATAAACCTTCACAATGCAGTAGGGAGGGCACAGCTGCCAGAGGGATATCTTGGGGTAGACAAGCCAGATTAGCATCTGTGTGAGGGGTCACTCTCAGAGGGGAGCACAGAAGGTTGGTCAGTCCTACTGTGGGGGAGAGGCAGAGGTAGACAACAGATTTTGTGGGGACCTGGGAGTTCTCTTCTGATTGCTATGACTGAGTTAAATGAGAACCCAGGAGGACATGTTGGAGGTTTGAAGAGCTAGTAGAAGGTGTGAAATAGTTGTCTAGGAGAAAGGAAGAATGAATGGACTGGGGAATTGTAGTGGGATTCAGGTCTTGCTTGAAATTCATGGTCATGAATTTAAGTGAGAGCAGGACAGAAGAGAAGATATGTGTGACCTTGGGCATACTGTGAAAAGGTTGTTTACAAAGGTATACTATCTACTTTACAAAGTTAGTGTAAGGATTCAGTGTGTGAGAAAGCATTTCAAAGTATAAGTACAGGACATCATTATTATGAAACTTGGCTTTGCATTACTTAGCACTTTCCTTGGGCAAAAAGCTTTCCAGATTTAAGACAGACTCAATGTCTCTAGAGACAGCAGCTGGCTTCTGCCACTGACTTAGTTACTGGGTGTAAACAACTGACTTAACCTCCATTTGCTTTTACCCCTCAAACTATAAAATGAGGGTGGTAATGCTTAAAGGGCAGTGAATGCTTTACAAGTTAAGAGTACCATATAAACACAAGCTATTCATAAGGTGGCATTAGCCCTCACTGTCACTGTCACTAGAAAGTCAGAGAGCCTCCAAATAAGCCCTAAGCCTTGGGTGGGAGATGCCCCCCTTTGAAAGCTGTGAAAGAGGAAGGAAAGGAATCGCCATGTGGGTGCCATCTGCATTACTTCCTTTAATCCTTACAACTATTCTCTGAGATTATTAGAACCTAAGACTCAAAGGGGGGTTGAGTTCCCCAGTAGAGTTTGGGTTTCATTGCAGGTTTACCTTAAAATCCCTTGCCACATGTGGAATTGCACTTGATTCTGTATATCCACAGAAGTTATGGGACTGAAAGCATACATTTTTTTCATATTCCAGACCTATATTTTAGCCAACCTAACCTGTTTGCAATCAGACATTTAACTAGTGTTGCCCAGTAGCAGAATAAACTGATTTGTTAGATATCCCATGATGGAGTAGTTGACAAGAAATGATAGGAACATTGGGGGAGGGGAAAAATAATTGCACTTAGCTACAAATGCACTTTTTTAAACACTCTTGGGATAGGATGGTAGGTGCTAGAAAAATTAATTCATGTGGTCATGGGAACTGCTGAACTACCATGTCCACTGTGCCATTTCTTGCAATCTGTACATTATAAGCTGCAGCACATAAACTGCTCTAAGAGAAAATCACTGCTCTATTAGATTTTGATTTTTGAGTAACAATTGCCCACCTGATAGAGAAAGTGATAAGAAAAGTGTATTTATCTTCTTCCAACAGCTAAAAGGTGATCATACTTCTAAAATTTGTTGAGATTGTCCAAGAAACTGTGTAAAATACTCATCCATCACTGGAAGCCCCTGGTCAGGAAATGACAGTGCAGTAAATATCTTCAGCAGCCACCTTTTAATGTACAAGCTGTTTTCGGTTGGAATTTTCAGCACTCACATAAAACACACTGTCATGAGTGACTGCTTGTGCTCCAAAGTCATTACTATTGGGATAATGGAACATCTCTCAGCAAATAACCAAAAAACTTTAAATGTCATGTCAAGTTTGTCGAAGCTGTTTTCAAGCCCCATTCAAGGTTACATGAATATTGAAGGTATCTGCTTTTAAAAAATTTGAGTTGCATGAGAGAGATCACTCATAGGTTGTGCAGTGTGAGATCAAAGTAATTAAAAGAAATTCTAGGCTAGGTCTCTTTGGGAAACTCAGTCAGCCAAGCCATTTAATCATTAGCTCTTGCAACTCTCTCCTTACTACCTTGGTTCATCATTTCACCATCACTTTGGGTGTGTGTCAATGTGTACACATATTATAGATGTGCATATAGGACATAATTCTGGTTTGCTGGAAAGTTTGAATGTTCTGCCTGCTAAATTTATTATTTAAGGGAAACATTGAATTYTAAAATTCTGATTAGAGGCTTTCTTCCTTAGTTTTCTTCAAAAAGAAAAATTCATTTTTATTCAAATGGTATTTATCTTGGGCCAAAATGTGTCAGATAATAAACTCTTTATCCAACACACTTTTAGTGAGCAGTTCCTTTGCACCAGGGCCATTCTAGGCACTGAGACTGCAGCAATATTTAAAAGAATGTTCCTGGTGTCTCAGAGCATAGTTCTAGTAAAGAGACAGACGGTATACAAGTAAACAAATATGACGCATCTCGTGGTCATGAGTTCTGGTAAGGAAAGGATGAGGGGCTAGAGCAATGAAAAGGATATGTACAATTCTAGAGGAATGACTAGGGAAGGAGACTCCATTTAACTGATGTTTGAGCAGAAACCTACATGAAATAGGGGACCAAACCCTGATAACCTAGGGACAGGCATTTCAAGCCTAAAGGAAGGAGAAGGAAAGCTCTGGTGCTAATGAAGTGGTTTTCTATTATGTTGTTGTATATTCTTGACCTCTACATGTTTATTTTAAATTGGATATTTTTTAGTTTAGTCTAAGAGAACTTGCTTATTATGAATAATTATTTTACATTTATGTTTTACAATGTGCCTAGTCCTCGCTTATCACAGTGACAAGTTTTATGCTTCTTTCCTGTAGAAAATCAGAAAGTGCAGTTGACAGAAGGGTCACGTTCACACTACAGTATCAATTGCAACTCCACAAGGACTACAGTCGCCAAGGAGCTTAATTATAATCCAGACACTCGTACGTCTACAGAGAGGATCAAGGCAGTTGAGAAGAAGGAAGCCTGTAATGTAGAAAGCACCAGAAAAAAGGAAATGGAACTTCTTGGCTCTGTTTCTAAAAACGAATCAGTTCCCGAAGTTGAAGCCCTGCTGGCAAGATTACGAGCTTTATAAATTAAACTGGCAAAAAAATGATTAAGCCAAATATAAAGCCATGCTCTAAGCTATAACACTTGAAAAAATTGCTTTTATATAAGTGACTTTATATAGTTTTAAATTATGATATATATTAGAAAAATAAAGCTAAATACATTATTGCAATGCTTTTTCTATGTACTTGAAGTTTGGGCTTATTCAAGATTGTAATGTGCTTTAATGCTTTTTTTGTCTCCTGGTATTCATCTGTTCTAAATTTGGTGGTTAAATTATACATATTGCTTTAGAGAGCAGGTAGGAGGCCATGTGTTCAGCAATGTGTCCTTAAGAAATACCATCTTTCTAAGTCACTGTAATTTTTACTATTTCAGCATTAATGAGTATCAAATCATCAGTCTTGCTACACATGCATGTATATTTACATAGGCCTAGGTTTCTCCACTGTAACATCATGGATATTAACTGAATATATCACAACTATAAGGAAATGACTGGTAAATTCTTTATCATCATTGTTTAATTCATGTTAACTTGACCCTCTAAGGGACTCGTAAGCCAACTGAGTGCATTTCTAAAAATTATATGATAGAAATGTATGTATTATCTYTACAAAATGCCTCAGCTTTTGGATAAAGTGAAAATATACAGTATGACAGTGCTGACCAAAACTCTTGGTCTTAGCCAACAGAACATTTTTTTCCCCAGTAATTATGACTATGGAATAAAATTACCATTTTGAAACTTCCAAAGCCACAAATTTTTGGATTCCTGTGAACACACTTGGAATTTCAATTTCTTTGATCTGACAATCAATAACTTTAACAAGGATCTGAATACATGTTTCAAGGAAAGTTTTAATATGCAAATGTTGCAATTGTACCTCATTTCAGCATCATTCCTTTGTTAATTCCATATCAAAGAAAATAAACTTGCTATTTGCACTAAATGAAAAAAATTGCTTTCTTCTCTCTCTCATTAATATATTCTGTAGTAAGCTGGAGATACAGTGCTACACAGGCCAAGAACCTCTTTTGCTTTATTACATGTAATAACTAAGTGACTCCTCTTTTACTTTCAGTAAAAAGCAGTTATATAGAACTAGTCTGTGAGGTCTACTGCCTTTTATTTCCTTGTTTAAGTTGCCACCTCCTTTCGTCTCCAAGTTAATAAAATTAATTAATTAGGACTATGAACCAGGCTCTGTTTATAGACGTGGGGGAACAAGTGTTATCCGTAGCCACTGTAGGAATAAATTTGCTGTATGTGTTGCTGAAATGTGAATCTTGCCCTCCAGTTGCAATTCCAATTTTCCTAAAAACAAATTTTTTTAAAAAAAATCAAGAAAAGTGAAGGACATTTACATATTTAAGCGAGCAGAAGCCATAACATCAAGGAAGGATTGTTTTGATTAGGAAAGAATGAAAGAATTCTAACTATCTGTTCTCAACATGATTTTCTGAAGACTTGGGCTTCTCAGAAAGAAAATTTAAATTTATCCACATAGTTTGGACAGGCCAGGTAGGGAGAAGCAGCCCACAGGGAGAAGCAGCCAGGCGAGTAAAGGGAAGTGAAGATGACACAGACTCCCAGGGGCAGAGAAAGACAGGAAGTCCAGCCCCAGAGCATCTGTCTAGACACAGGAGCTGAAGGACAATCTTCAAGCAGGAGGACCAGGAGCCCAAGGCTAGCAGAGCATCCACAGGACATGGCCTCCCTCTCTCTGAATGATAAGAGCTGGTTTTCAAGCAGGCCTGAACAGAAAGAAGGACCCATAGCTATGGAAAGCAAAACTTCAGTGAAAGAGGCTAGGTGCCAACTCAAGGAACAGATCATTCATTTTCTGTTGGAGATATTTCCTTAAGATATATCCCTTCAACAAAGGGCTAAGGGTATAATTAGGGTTTTAAAATTCATGGTATTCCTTTAGACAGTTGTAGAGAAAACTATAACAATGACTTTTCATTCAAAGACAGACATGAAGGTACAGTTTTGTTTCTGAGCAAAAAAAAAAAAAAAAAAAAAAGTTCCTTTGGATTAGGTATGGTGGTTAATTTTATGGTCAATTAGACCAGGATAAAGGATACCCCAGATAACTGGCAAAATATTATTTCTAGGTAGATCTGTGAGGCTATATCTGGGAGAGATTATCACTGGAATCAGTAGACCAAGTAAAGATCACACTCATAGTACAGTGGGCATCATCCAGTTTGTTAAGAGCACAAATAGAAGGAAAAGCAAATTTCTTTCTCTGTTTATACTGGGGCATTCATCTGCTCCTGCTCATAAACATTAGCCCTCTTGTTCACAGGTCTTTGGGCTTAAATGAACTACACCACCAGCTTTCCCAGGCCTCCACCTTGCAAATATTGCCTGGTGGGACATCTCCACTGAGCCCATCACTAATAATAATAAATCATTCTACATATCTGTACATATTATATTGTTTGTTTTTCTGGAGAACCTTGACTTATACAGAAGGTAAATGTCCAACTCAAAAACATCTGATAGAGCTTAATAATCTTTACAAGGATATTCCTTCCAGGCCAGTGATAAACCCCAGATTATTCTCTCCTTATGGTGGTATAAAGAATTTAACTAGAACACACAGATAACTAAGCAATCACTGAGTTTTATAAAATCATGAACCTACTCTAACAATTTTTTTCTAATGAAATGGTTAATTTAAAAACAATGGAAGCACTTACTTTATATGTGCCTTTTTATTTAACATATTTGAACAAGCTATGTCAAAAACACCTAGTGTTTTAACAAAATACTGTGTTGTCGTTAAAGGAATTAATCCTGTTATTTGTAACATGTTTGTGGCGGTCATCATGTTAAGTGAAATATACCAGGAACAGAAAGAAAATTATCATGTAATCATACTTGTATGGAATCTAAAAACATTGATCTAACAGAAGATGAGAGTAGAATGGTGGTTACCATAGGCCCACAAGGGTGAGGTGGAAAGATGGGGAGAGGTTGATAAATGGGGACTCAGTTTCAGTTTAGAGAGAGAAATCCTGGTGTTCTATTGCACAGTAGGGTAACTGTGCACCTAGAAAAATGATGATGTACTATATATATTATTAAAAGCTAGATAAAAAGATTTTGAATGTTTCGCCACAAAGAAATGATAAATGTTTGAGGAGATAGATACACTTTCCCTGATTTGAACATTATACAATGTATGTATGTAGCAAAACATCACATGGACCCTCATGTATAATTTTTATGTGTCAATACCTAAATACCTAGTGTTTTTTAGGAAGTGAACATTTCTATAATTCAAATCAAAGTTTTTCTAATAAATTTAGAAAATTTAGTTATTGATGCCAAGTTCCTCTAAAACTGTAGATATTGTACTATTTATTCAAAATGGGAATTATTAATGATTTGAAATGTTCATTTAGTTATAGATGATTATTTCCTGCATAATTCACTTTTATTTTAAAATAACATATTCCAATGTATATCTGCATTTACAAGTTAAAAACTAAATTGTTTTGGCTATAATGTACATCTGTGCTACATTCCACCAAATTAATTGCTCTTTTTTATACATAAACACATGAATTCCAGAAGCACATTTGACAATTACTCTCATGGCAAACTTTCTTTCAGACCAAGTGACTTCTAGAAAGTAATAGGTCCTAATATGTAAACTTCTAACTTGATAGAAAACCAAAAACAGGTGACATTTTTTCTTCTTTCATATTAATTATTAAAAGTTTTGAGATCCAGGAATTGTAGCTGGCAGTGACCCAGCACTCATTTTTGGTGAATTGTTAAATAGTAGCTACTATGTGCCCTTGCCAGGCATGAGTGTTCTTAAAACATGACCCAGAGCCAAATTGTTCCACTGTTTTGGTCTAAGAGCCACTGTTTAGCAAAATGCATGCAGTTGCCAAAGAACCACAGAGATTGGATGGAATTTCAGAATTGAATCCAAATCTCCCCATAAAAGGCAAATAATAGAACCTTAATCTATAAAAGCTCATTATTTCTAAACACACCTTTGCCTTTGAAAGTGGGTATGAGGAGAATGTTAAAACAAAAATGGGGGTAGGGTCTGGGGAAGAACAAAAGCCAGCTGTGTCTTCTAATTAGGGTTTAACTGTAGAGGCCGTTATCTCCCACACAGCTAATTATATTTTAGTGTCATATTTTACTTCAGTAGCCTCCCTTTAGGCATGTGCAAGAAACAAGTACTAAAAGGAAACTTGGTTTCTTGCAGGAAACCTTAAAATGATAGATATTTTCCCCCTCTATTATCCACTCTGAAACCTAACCAAAGCCCCAGATGTTGCCTCCTTACAAATTCACGTTACCAACCTTCCCCATATCCCCCAAAACTTACATAATATGCATTTCCTTATTTGAAATTTAATTTTTTAAGTTTATATACTATTTGTTATTTTTTTAATTTGCTCTAATTAGTTAGACATGACAGTAGAATGCATTTTGACAACACTATACACAAATGGATCGCAACTTCTCATTCCTCTGGCTATACATGGTGAAATCTAATTTTTTAAAGGCATTCTGATGATGGAATTGGAAACCAAATTTCTGGATTATCTCTTTGGGGCAGATTATCCATTTTATTTTACAACAACCTTTTAAAGTATTCCAGTAAGTATGTTAGTTTTTTTTAACAGTATTTAAAGGTTCATATTTTACACTTTATGTAGCATTTTTATCTCATGTTATATTTGAACTAAAAACCTAAAAATTTCTCTCTTCCTAATTTTCTAATCTGGAGTTACTGGAACTTACTTTAAAGATGAATCTTCTACAAGAAAATCTAATCTTAATATAATCTGAGTAGGTGTGAATGTTATTCAATTATGAGATCTATGCTGGATAGCTATAATAAAATAATTAGACTGAAATAAATATTCTGGTGAATTATTTCTTGAAAGCAGGTTTAAGTCCTCAGGTTTGTATATACCAGTTAATTTCTCCCCAAAGTACTTGTCTGCTTTCTCTTAGATTTGACTGGTTCTGATGTAATAGACCCATCTTTCCATCAAAAAACAAGACTGACCAT